CTTATTCTTACTTCAAGCATCTTCTAGCTTAAGTAAAGGATCCTCCTTTTAGCAATCTCTTTTCTTGTATTTGCTAAAACTCTGTGTGTAACCAAAGATTGTTTAGATAGGTTTTCATTACCTTATCTTTCCGCAAACAGTCTTGTAAAAATTTGTATTGATCTTCTCTATCAATATATATTTTAAATTTAAAAATACTGTGTTTGTATTCATCCCCCCCTTCTACAAACTGTTTCTATTCTTGTAGACCCTTATGGGACCAGCAAATTATTTCCCTATATGATATCTGCTTTTGAAGATCAACTTGATGATTGCTTATTTTTTTAAGATACATGTTGCTATACATGTATTAGTGCATGGATTTTATTTTGAAAATTTTCATATGTAAATTTATACATATAAGAATCCTTGTACTAGTGGGACCTATGTGGTGTAAATTATATTTCTTGGAAATGAAATACGTGTTATATGAAAATATGGAGTTTGGGGTGTTACAAATAATGGAAATAAAAGGAATAGCTTGGGTCAAATAAGTTTCGGTTCTTAGAAGTAAAGATAGGAGTGGCCTTGAAGTAGGAAGTATCGGGCTTCCAACACTACTCTCCTTGCAAAATGGATGTGGAAATTCTGGACTGAATCGATAACAACTTGAGCAAGTGGTGAAGGTTGTTCATATTTGTCAAGGTGGCCTTATTTCTAGGCAAAATGAAGGTTCTGTTGGTGGTCGGGGACCTTGGAGAAGTTTCGTCGTTGCTCTACACAATCTTAGTAAGGTTGGTATTTTTTTTCTTTTTGATGATTTATGCAGCAAAGAGGTTGAATATGGGATCAATACTTTCTTTTGGAAGAAAAATTGGTCTGGACCAAGGATTCTTAAAGTTCGATTCTCGAGAATTTTTCCTAGGAGTCAGACAAAGACGCTACTGTTGTTGATAGGCTTGGTGTTGACGGCTTTAAATGGAACTGGCTCTAAGAGTTGAGAGGCGACTAGAAGCAATTTGAGCTCAACGAACTAAAAAGCAACATCGGTTCCGCTTCTCTCAATGCTTCCACCGAAAAATGGTGATGGAATTTAAACTCGAGCACGCTTTTGATATATAATCGTTGAGGTTGTAAATTGACAAAACACAGTTGGGATCCGGCCCGGCCCCTATAAGACCAATATGGAACAAACTCCTCCCAACAAAGATTAATATCTTTTTTGGAGAATCCACCTCAACCGCATCCCACTTAAAGAAAGGTTGATTTATATAGGGATCGACTTAGAGAGTTCTTTATGTCTCCTCTCTAACATTGACGTCGAATCTGTCAATCACCTTCTTTCTCTTGTTGTTGGGCTAACGACGTTTGGATTAAAATTAATAGATGGTGGAATTTTCGTTTTTTCTTAGTTCACCTTTTTGGAAACGGCTCTTAATTAACGGTATTAATTCTGCTCGTATTGCCTCTTTGCTTTGCAAAGGTATGGAGGCCATTTTACATGTCATTCCATTTGGTGTTTCCGTAATAGATTTCTCTTTGAGAAATCTAAACTAAACCGAGGTTGAGTGATTTGTTTGATTTTCTTGTTGAAAAACCTTTCAGTTGGATGATTCTTAGATGCAAAGAGAGTCATATACACATCGTTCAGTGGAGATCTTCCCCTTTTAACCGTCTCGGATTAATGGACCTTTTTTTTGGCTATCCCCTAGCTAGCTTTGTTTTAATGATAATACCCTTTTCCAGAAAACACAAAACCGTTGGAGTTGAAATTCAAATAGTTGGGTTATCTTCAAAAAGTCACAAAATTTAGCCGAACAAAGCTCAAATATCATTACATTTTACTTTGTGGTATTCCTTGGTGAAGGTAGAAAAAGATGGGTCGAAAACCATCAAAATGAAAGAGAATCTTTTCTCTCAAAGGTCCATAACTCCACATAGATTGAAGTAATCGCAATTTTATTGGACCAGCAATGAGAATTTAATAGTCAGCCCACCGAACACTACAAGCTTGTATTTGTCACAAAAAAAATGGACCACAAGTAATTGCAAGAAAGTGGAAGTTGCCTTCATTTGTATATTGACTTGTGCACTCTACTGTCTCCTTTTCTCTCGCTCTTTATTTTATTAGTTTTTTGGAAGGTTTTCTTGGATGCATGTGTCAATAAAGTGTTTGAGTACTGTCTATGAATTGTCTAAATTATGATAAAATAAGGAAATCAGTGTTAATCTAAAGAAAATCAAAGAATCATGTTAATCTAAATCAATGTCATCAAATTCTTGTAACTTGAAAATTTTCTACTGATATTATTGTTGCAATTTGAGTGGCATGCACCTCGACTAATTAAGGAGGTGTTTGAGATTGCTTATAAAAACAACTTATTGACTTATTCCGGTGTGGCACCGGTAATAAGCACTTTTGAGTGTTTGGATAAACAACTTATACAGGTGTCACACCGGTAATAAAGAGTTTTTGAAGAAGTTAAACCCTTGTGACTTGTAATAAGTTAATAAGTACTTTTATAGAAGAGTATAAGTTGTTTCAAATAAACAATCTCATACATTCCCTAGGACGGAAAGTATTGTAATATTCATGAACCATTTCTTAAGAATTTTTCAAATGGCAAAGAAAGATTGGCCACTAATGACCTTCAATTAAATATTGTCACCTGTAGAATGTACGAGATACCACCAAATAAATGTTTGATGGCCAGAGGAGCATATAAAATGGGGGGGAGGGTAGCCTCATATTCAGCAAGAGAGTTTTTAACTCCCACACGCTTCATTCTTCTCTTCCTTATTATAATCAACATGTTTATTATGTGAACAGAACACTTGTTTAGTTTGGCTCCTGTAATTCCTTCAGTTTGGTAGTTAATCCCCCTCCCTTGCAGACACAGAACACACACAAAGATGGAATCAAGAAGGCAAGACCAGAAAGGAGATAGCATGTCAGAAGAGGCAACCATTGATTGGAGAGGCAGACCATCTGATCCCAACAAGCATGGAGGAACGAGAGCTGCTGCTTTCGTTCTTGGTCTGTTCTTTATTCCTCCTCTATATATATCTCTATATCTTTAAATATAGCTTTGTTTAGATTACATCCACTATGACTAGCCTGAGGTATATCTAATCATCCTATAACAGTCTAATAATACTCTAGCAATATACGGTGAGCCTACAAGTTTCCAATATGGGTTTGGACTAGATATAGATTTTTCTATAAAACGCAATTTATGCTGTTTGATAATTAATTATTCTAGTATGAATTTTGCAGGGGTACAATCATTTGAGATAATGGCTATAGCAGCAGTTGGGAACAACCTTATAACATATGTGATAAATGAGATGCACTTTTCTCTATCAAAATCAGCAAACACAGTGACGAACTTTATTGGCACCATCTTCATCCTTGCTCTCTTTGGTGGCTACCTTTCTGATTCGTATCTCGGTTGTTTCTGGACCATGCTCATCTTTGGCTTCATCGAACTCTCTGTATGTCCAACCCTTTTCTCTCCTCCTCACTCATGCCCATTCTTATTCGTTTTTCATTAAGAAAAGTCCAACTCAAGTGTTAACATGCAGTGGACCACTGGACTGGATGTCGCAAAATCTGTCTTACTCAAATATTTATTTTTTCATTTTTTATTTTTGTGTAGGGTTTCATAATGTTGTCAGTTCAAGCCCATCTCCCTCAGCTGAAGCCACCAAAATGCAACATGTTAACAGATGGAAATCAATGCATAGAAGCTAAAGGGATGAAGACCTTAATATTCTTTGTAGCTCTCTACTTGGTGGCATTAGGAAGTGGCTGTGTGAAGCCAAACATGCTGGCCCATGGTGCTGACCAATTCAACCGAAGTGACTCAAAGCAGTCCAAGAAGCTCTCCACCTACTTCAATGCTGCCTACTTTGCCTTTTCCATGGGTGAACTCATTGCTCTCACCCTCCTTGTTTATATCCAAACCCATTCGGGTATGGATATCGGGTTTGGGGTGTCTGCCATCATCATGGCAATGGGTTTAATCTGCTTGGTTTCTGGAACCTTATTTTATAGGAACAAGCCTCCTCAAGGAAGTATTTTAATCCCTATTCTACAAGTAAGATCCAGTTACTCCTAATATGTGCATGGACTGACAGTAGACTTTATAAATGACTTTTAATATATATCTACCTCTTTCCATCCTGATTCTTCAAAAATTTAAAACATCCAACTATATATGTGTTTGGTAATTTGATAAAGAGTTCAATGTACTCTTTTTCCCATCCAAGTATGGATGAAACCTCCCCATGATGGACTTTTAATTGGTCGGTTCAATATTTTTGTTTAATCTTAAACTATATTAAAAACCTATTATTCTGTGTACTTATTTTTTTAGTGCACTGTGCAATCTTGTTTGCTTTTGCTGGGTTTGAAATAAAATAATACTGACTACGCTGCTATGTTCCTTAGATTGACAACACTTAAATATCAAACCAAATCTATCCATCTCTCTTTCTTTACATGAGTACAATTGGTTATATTACTTGCAGGTATTTGTGGCTGCAGTTTTGAACAGGGATCTCGTCTTCCCATCTAACCACAGCATGCTTCATAGAAGTCAATATGAGCTTCAAAATAGCCATTCCTCCATGACAAATGACATTGCTAGTCTTCGTCATACTGATAGGTTCAGGTATCTTTCAATGTCAAACGTTTTTCAAATTTTATAATAGACACCAATTATCACCTGTCATCGGAACTGCTAAAGTAACCACAAAAATATCACGAAAAAGCTGCCCAAAGGCTGTTATGCAATACAACTGAACAGCAATTGTGCAGTATATGACCAAAGGGTCTATCGTACGTGTTTGGCCTCTTAAGAGGTCTAAGGGTTCAAACCTCGTCAAAAATGAGGAGGGTGTGTAAGTTTATTTGTTTTATTTGTCATATATAAATATTTTATACTTTAAAAAAATTGTGCATATATGGTCTTTGTTTATCATCCTGCTTTGTTGGTCGTATGATTTATAATCATAATCAGTCTCCCTCCTGATTAGTGTAAAACAATTTTCAGGTTATTAGACAAAGCCTGTATAAAGAAACAAGGAGAGGACAACTATATAAATTCAAAGGAAAGCCCATGGAGGCTGTGCACTTTGGACCAGGTTGAGCGAGTGAAGATCCTAATCTCTGTCATTCCAATTTTTGCCTGCACAATCGTCTTTAACACCATTTTAGCACAGCTGCAAACCTTCTCGGTCTCCCAAGGAAGTGCTATGAACAACCAAATCACGAAATCCTTCCACGTCCCACCAGCCTCACTCCAAGCCATCCCTTACATCTTTCTAATCTTTGTAGTCCCTATTTATGACTACCTTTTCGTCCCATTTGCTCGAAAAATCACTGGTCATGTTTCTGGAATCGCCCCCTTGCAGCGTATAGGGTTTGGCCTATTTGTTGCAACTTTTTCAATGGTTTCAGCTGGCCTGATAGAGAAAAAGAGAAGGGAATCCTTTACAAGTTCTGGTCAAAGATTATCCATTTTTTGGATAGCCCCACAATTCATAATATTTGGATTATCTGAAATGTTTACCGCTGTGGGGTTGATCGAGTTCTTTTACAAGCAGAATTTGAGAGGGATGCAGTCTTTCTTGACAGCTATGACGTACTGTTCATACTCCTTTGGTTTCTATCTAAGCTCAGTACTTGTTTCGTTGGTGAACAAGATCACCTCAAGATCATCAGATGGTGGCTGGCTCGGAGGTATTGATCTAAATAAGGCCAGATTAGACCTTTTCTACTGGTTGCTAGCAGGACTAAGTTTGATCAACTTCCTCAACTATCTCTTCTGGGCAAGATGGTATAACAATTCATGTAACCGATTGTCGTCAGGCACACAGCATCATGATATCAAAGAAGGCATTCATCATAACTTAAACCCTGCGAAGTATCTTGGAGATGACAATATACCTTAATTTATGACGTCAGACATATGAGATATGCATATATATTTGGCAGTCTCTTAAGTGTTGCTTTAAATTTTAAAAGAAATCTATAAAAGAACATAGATAAAAGAAGATGCCATCTTTATGCTTATGTGGAAGAAAATCCGTATTAATATGATATACCAACTTTCCAAGGCTTGCTTAATTAGTAGTATTAGTTTGTCTTACTGTTTCAAACCTCCACATTAGAGTTGCTGCAAGGATCTTGAAAGTATTGTAGGTTCAGTCCCACTACAGAGATTCACTAAATTCTCCAATTATTCTCTTGTCGCATCCTTTAATTGTGGAAAGGGCATGTGGTAGGATCACATAGGGAACAACCCACGTAAGTGGTCGGCTTAGTGCCTTTGCTTTTGAATCCTTGAATGGGAAATGTTGGGTCCCTCCTTACACACTGAAAATTGATTCTACCAAATCTAAATACACTTCAGTGAGATGCATATTCCTGGAAATTTAATCCACAGGAGTCCCTTTTTCTGTAAAAGCCAAAAAAGAGGGATGTTGGTGAGATCATGTATGTAAGGGAGAGTTGAAGAGAGACATGTATGTATATACATGTCTGTATGTGTGTATGTATGGAGATCTAAGAGAGAGAGAGAGAAAGGCAAATTCTCATTTTGAAATCTAGAGGGGGGGGGGGGGGGGGGGGGGGGGTTGACGCACTCAAGATATTGTTTCTGTTGTTAGTGATTTACACATTTGTAGAAAGAAACATGTCTCAAACATGTTTTGGATTTTGGGACTTGAGCACAATCATAGGAAGGCCCTTCACACAAGTAGACCCAATTCACATCACCATGTTGAATAAAAGAATAACAATTCATGGACCCTCCATGCAAAAAGATGAAGTTTTACCTGCCACATCAAAAACTCTTATCTTCATGGACACTATTATAACCCCTACATACACCAACACGTCGTGTTACTGGTGTAAGAATTATCACACGCCTCCATGCTTTACTTATAACTATAATAAAATCTAGCTTCTGATAATCTCTCAATGTTTTTGTGAGAGGACTTCTCCAAAAGAACCCTTTTGGAAAGTTATAAATTTGTGTGTTCAAACATATTTTGACATGGTCTCAAAGTCAAGGTCTACCATTCTAAGAACTCGTTATTATCGGACAATTTGAACTCGCAAAGCCCCGGGCCCTCTTGACACGCTATGCCTGTCTAGCCTCCGTTGGAAATAGGCGTGTTCATGTCCTACATCGGTCACACGTGAAACAAATCTCCTTATATATGTTGAAACGTCTATTTTCTCCTCAATGTCATTTTGAAATAAACTTACTTCGTATTTCTTCGAGAAGAGAAAACTCACAAGTAGAATATCATAAATACACTACAAAATTTGGTTTATAGGACACCCTCGATCTCTAAGCGTCTCAAAAGACCGCTTTATAGGACTTAATTTATAGGATCAATATATAAAGCGTCCTACCTAAAGGTATTGTAAAAAGTTTATGTGACGCTTTTGGACGTCTTAACTTAACAAGTTTTTTAGGACATTTTTTTAATACAAAGTGTCGCATTAGCAACTTAAGTGTCCTATAAACTCAATTTTTTATAGGACATTTGTTTTTATAGGACAGTTTTTCAAATAGTGTTCTATGAAGTTGTTAATGGGACGCTTTATTTTAAAGATGTCCTAAAAAACCTATTACGACGTCAAAAAACGTCATATAAACTTATTACAACACCTTTAGATAGGACGCTTTATTTTTTTGGTCCTAAAAAACAAATCTTATAAAGAGATCTATTAGGACGCTTAGAAATTGGGAATGTCTTATAAACCCGATTTTGTTGTAGTGATAGTTTTTAGCAACAAGGTATTTACATAAAACAATTGCTCTATTATTATTTGTATCTAGCAAAAACTAAAGTACTAGTTCTCACTCCAATCTAGAAAATCTTAACTAACAAAACTGTTGTCCTCCTTGATTATTAATATTGATTCCCCTTTTTTAGCTTTTATGTTTGTACAACAAATCCATTAGCAAATGTTTCAAATGAGCCATTATGGTCGGTGGACGCTTATATATTTTAATCGTTGCTTTTCTTTGACTCTCAAGAAATACATCTTTTCTAAAATCACACTTCTCACTCCTATCATATATCTTACCAATGAAAATTAACATGCATCGTATTTTTATGTTGTTTTAACTTTTATTTAATTGATGTTCATATTCTCCTTCTGATTATGTGTATTCATGTGCTTGATGGACATGAATAAGACGTCAAAATTTGAGACAAATGATTTTTATCCCTTGACCCAAATTGGTATATAGTGTAATTCACTCTTACTTGTAATCTGCTCCTCGTTATTGTTTGAAGAGCATTTAATTTGTTGTGTTAAGTTGAATTTTTCCTTTTCCTCTTATGGAACTTATAGAAAAGAAGACAGAAATATTGTTGGATGCGAATCCTTGCCACCGATCGACTCATCCTGTGAATAAAATTCAAAATCTTACCATCTAATTAGATTGAGTCAAAGAAATAAAATCAGGTTATCACTATAAACAATCACATAAGGAAAGAATTTTACTTTTTAGTCACCTAGCCTCAAAACTTTCTCATAAGATGAGCAAGATCGAAATCGCAAGTTAATGTTACAAGGTACTTTTCTTTGTGGTTTAATTGTGATATTTTTTGAGGCACCCAGATAAAAAGGGGTCCATCGCAAAAAGAAATTGAGACACTGCAAGAAAAATGTCTTGCAGCATTAACTTGCATTTTCTTGGCTATTCTGTAAGAAAAAATTTCTAGGTGGTTAAAAAGTAAAACATTTTCCCAAGTGGTTGTTTACGATGTTAACCCAAATTGTTTCCCACCACTTCAAATCTACTACCAATTTGTACCAGCTGAACAGCAAGCGATATCGGTATATGATCTTCTGCAAAAGGGAAGGCATCTATTAATATCTAAACATCATGTTAAATGTCTAAAACATCATGTTGAATATCTTCAATTCGATTCAGCCACGGGTGCCATATATAGGTTACTTCGCAAGTCTCTTTAGGAAGTCGCTTCATAAGGGACAATTTATGGTACATTGCTCATGACTTTGGACATGTGCTCATGCATCACACTTGGAGTCGCTAAGGAAATCTTTTATGTTGAAAAGTGAACATCAGGCTAGTTATGAGACGACCTGAAGGTCGCCCACGCTGAGTGACGGGTTTTTAATGCCATTTTAATTAGGGCAAAGTTTATTGTAACATTGGGAAACATCATTTGTATAGGAATTAGTTGTGTACATGGTATCAGAGCCCTGATCTGAGACCTCTCCCACCGATCGTTCTTTCTTTCTTCCTCTCAACCCTAGCGGCCGCTGGTCATCTTCCCTCCGTAATTTTTCTTGTCTCCTTTATGACTGGTTCCAACGTCAATATCGACGCCGCCAAGGCAACGTTCCACCATGCTTTCTGCATCAACAACATTAAGAATGTGATCCCCATTCTTTTGGATCACACTGATGGCCACTATACGTCATGGGTGGAGTTGTTCATCGTCCATGCATGTGCCTCCAATGTGCTCGACCACATCGACCCTAAAACTAAACGCCCGACTGACGTTGATACAGCAACGTGGACCCGCCTCGACGCTATCGTCAAACAGTGGATTTACAGCACCGCCTCCACCGATCTTCTTCTAACTATTATGAAGCTGGGTGCCATCGCTTAAGAAGTGTGGAACCGCCTCGAGGAAATTTTTCAAGATAACAAAGCGGCTAGGGCCATTTACCTAGAAGAGCAATTCATCAGCACTCGCCTCGCTGCTTTCTCCAATATCTCTGACTCACAAAAGGTAACTCCGACCCACTGCCAAGTTGTAACAAAGCCCGATCCAGACCTCTCTTATCCAAGCCTCTCTACCTCTATCCTATTGGAATTACGTTCTTGCCCTCGCCACCTATCTCCTCAATATACTACCATCCACCACCATCAAACATAAAACACCCGTTGAACTACTATATCACAGCATACCCACATAATCACACCTTCGAACCTTCTGATGTTTATGCTACCCCAACATCTCATCTACCACTCTTTACAAACTCGCCTCCCGCTCAATTCTATGCATTTTTCTCGGATACCCACCCAACCACCGCGACTACCTATGTTAATCCCTCATCGGCAACCAAGCACATATCTCTCGTCATGTAACTTTTTGACGAAAATACCTTCCCATTCACAAACCTTCCCAAACAAGCAATTCGGTCCTATGATTTCCTCGACAATACCAAACCCTCTCTATATTTCTTATGTCATTCACATCCTCGACACCAACCCAGCATCTTACCTTCCCCGTCAGGACTTTCCTCTGACCGCACCACCACTCTTGTCATTTTAGCCCCTATGATTCCCTCATCGCCTCTTCCACCTTCGAAACCCTTGTCACCTGCTTCCTTCCCACTACCAGAAACTGCTGCCCTGCCACCTCCTGCTCAAAACCTTCCGCCCTCTACCTCCCACCATGTACAAACATGCTCTAAGAGCAGGATTTTTAGACCCAAAAACATCATCTCCTTACACACTCAGAGCTTATCTCCCATACCCTCCAATCCAAAGGTTGTACTTCTTGACCCAATTCGAGCAATGCCATGACCATTGAATATAACTCTTTACTTAAACAAAATACTTGGGAATTGGTTCCACGACCACGTGACACAAACATAGTACATTTCTACTGGATTTTTCGACATAAATTTCATGCCAATGGTACTCTCGAGCGCTACAAAGCTCGCCTTGTCATGAATGGGAAGTCCCAAGAAGTTGAGATTGATTGTGACAAAACTTCTAGCTCCATCGTTAAACCCGTCACCATACAAACGGTTCTCAACCTTGTCATGGGACGAAAGTGGCAGGTCCACCAACTTGACATTAAAAATGCGTTCCTATACGATGATTTGCATGAAACGGTATACATGCATTAATCGTTCGGGTTCTATGACCCCTCCCATACAGGCTAAAACAAGCCCATCGAGCCTGGTACTAGCTACTTGCCCACCATCTACTCCATCTCGATTTTACATGTAGTACAAGTGACACATCCTTACTCATTTTATATCAGAACGATGATTTTACCTACCTTCTCCTCTACGTGGATGACATCATTCTCATGGCATCATCCACTACCCTTAAAATTGAGATCATTCATGCCTTAAAGTAGGATTTCAACATGACCGACCTTGGTACCCTGACACACTTCTTGGATATCTCGGTCAAACGCACGACCAATAGCATGTTTCTCACCCAACACAAATACACCAAAGACATCCTCAAACAAGCTAGGATGTAAAATTCTAAATTCGTCTCTACACCGGTAGACACCAATTCTAAGCTATATGCCTCCGTTAGCACCTCAGGACCACCCATACCCTCTACCAAAGCCTTGCAGTTGCACTCCAGTACCTCACATTCACTAGACTAGATATCGCCTACATCGTGCAACAAATATCTTTATTTATGCATGCATGATAAGTGTTAATTTATTAACCTTATTACATCATTTTCTTAACCATTTTCTGTTGTTTTATTTGCCCATTAGTGTCCTAATTGAGTCTTTTTATATCTTTTTCATATATTAGTAGTTATATTGTATATCTAATGTTAATTCCCTGTTTATGCAGGTTTTTGAGCATTTTTGGGCCCAGTCCTGTGACAGTCCTATAGGACCCGGAGTGGCGAGGTCCTATAGGACCTATCCGAGTGCTGGAAATCTTTTGGGCCGAGGAAAGATGGGCTAATCCAAAGAGAAGGCTTGGTCAACACCCTTGGGCTTAGTCAAAGCCCAGCTTGGAAGGGTCTTTTGTCTTATTAGTTGGCATCCACCTTGAAGCTTCTCTTTACCTATTTAAAGGGGTGTTGGCCTTTGTAATTTACACTTAACTTTCACAAGACTTTAATTTAGACTTGTGTTGGCTCTTCACTTAACTTGTTACTTACTCTTTTCTCTCCTTGGGATCATTTTGCTACCTACTCTTTTCACCAACAAAAACCATTTAGTTACTTAATCATCTTATTGTAATTTTTTTTATGATAATCTTGTGTTGGCTATTCTCAAGAACATCACTTTGGTGCTAAGTTTGCGTTTCTTGTATTTAACATTTCAAGAAGCGATTTTTGTAAGTTACGATCGTATTCTCAAGGTTTATTTTAAGTACTCATCTTTTAATCTTCATCTCGTTTTAGTTTCAAGTTACATTAYGTTTTCTCATAYCTAAATTACGTAGTCTAAATAAATCGCGTTTTCAAGTTAGCAAGTAACCTTTAGGCCTTTGTAACGTAACTTGTTTTGCAAGTTACGTTACTTGACTTGCAAGTTTTGTTACTTGACTTGCAAGTTTTCTTTCACGTTTCCCAAGGTTTGCCCATCATCCATCCATCCATCCATCCATCCATCAAAGTATTTTTGTCTTCCCAATATGTACTTTCTTTTCCCATCAAAGTACCATTTTTGTCTTCCCAATATGTACTTTCCTCTTAATTATTATTATTATTATTAGATTAATATAATTAATATTATTTAGTTATTAATAATTTATATTTCAGTCTTTTATATTTCAGTCCTTTATATTTCTGTATTTATATTTCAGTCCTTTACATTTCAGTCTTTACATTTCTGCAATTTACATTTCTGTC